TTTGCCCAGCATGTATGAGACTCTGGGTTCAGTCTTCAATCAATTGAAAAAAAATTTTTTTTAACAAGATAAATTACCCGAGCTCAGCTTTTCCTGGCTGCAGTACGAATCTACGGCACATGTACTTATGGAATCGTGCCTACATTAAAGTTGGGTTGTACATGTAGAGAGTGTAAGCCAACAAGAAACTCGGGACATTTGCTTTAATGGGCACATCACTAAGTACCTCAGTCCATTTTCTGCTGTAACAGAACGACACGCTGGGCAGTGAGTGAAGTTTATTTAGCTCACAGTTCTGGAGGCTGGGAAGCCCAACAGTACAGCAGTGGGCCTGGCAAGGGGGCCTTCACGCTGCACAGCATTGCAGGAGGGTAAAGGGAGAGCAAGCTCATGCAAAAGAGAAAACATGAAGGACACTCTGTTAAGAAAACCAACTGCTTTCTTGAGAAGTAACATCCCTGGGATGACGGCATCAGTCCACGCAGGAGGGCACTGCCCTCATAAGCCAGACACCTCCCACTAGGCCTTACTCTCAAGGCTGCAGCTTGGGGATCAAGCTTCCAATACATGAATAGAGGACACAGCCAAATTACTGCAACCTTTCAGATCAAAGTGGGGCACAGATGCCTTTTCATCAAGCATGACATGCAGAGCAGTTAAGCACAACAAAGAAAGAAAGGATGTTATTAATCAGATGGGGGAACAGCATTTACCAGGACAGTGTATCCATGACAGTTCCTCAGAGCAGGAGCAACCCCAGGAGGCAACACACACCTTTGATCTAAAGAAAGCACCTATAGGGATCATGATCAAGTGCTTCTGTATCTGGCATGATGCAAAATGGGGGAAACTGGCAGGCCATAATTTGTAGAACCTGTGGGGACTGAATGAATCTGAGAAGGAAACCCATCCTCATTTCTTGCCTCTGCCAACTGTCTCAGCAGAACCATGGGACTGTCCTGTGGAAGCTGGCACCCCCCTCACCCAGGAGTAAAAGAAGCTGAAGGAAGTGTTAGATAGCCAGGGCTGTACTCCTAGGGATCTGGCTACTGTCCCACTAGCCGAGAGGAGCCAACCAGTGACCAAGTGCTGTGCTTGGGACCTCCAATTACAGGAAGAATCTAGGCTTGGCTGCTACTGTACTTCTGCCATCTAAATCTATCAAACATTTCTTAAGACCCACCTTGCCCTGAACATCTAGGGAACATTTTTTTCATCTTGAATTGGCCCCCCCTAAACCACCAGAAGGTCTGAGGTCTTGAACAGATACGAGCCGTGAAGCTACAGGCGGAGGACTCGGCCAGGCCACTATGTCAAGATCCGGAAACGGGCTGCCAGAGGAAATGCTAATGCCAGTGCAGCGACACACACTGGGTGTTCCTCGACAAGGAAAGGACATGCAAGCCAGGATCTGATGGGAGGAAGAGTGGCACAAAGGAAGACCACGGAAAGTCAGGCACCAGATCCCAGGAGGCCGCGCAGAGCCTGTGCAACGTGGGAGCACTTCCTTTTCCTAAGCTCAACCGGAAGGAGCTTTTCTCAGGGTTGTAAGTAGTTGCATCTTCTACACATATTTTTTAAACTTTGCATTTTGAAATAATCTTAAACTTATAAATAAGTTGCAAGATTAGTACAAAGCATTCCTCTACGCCGCTCACCAGGCTGACTGCTCTTTTTTCAACAGACTGCTGTGGCTGCGTAGGAATGGCTCCCGCAGACAGGACTGCTTCTTATGAAATCCAAGCCTCCTGCCGCTCTTGGAGCACAGACTGCACAATGACCTGAGGACCTGGCTGCAGCCCCGGGAAGGCCAAGGGGCGCACAAGCTGTGACATCACACAGGAGCCACAACACACACCCAGCCACAGTTCCTCCACATCAGCTTCACCCCATTAAAAAATCAATCTCGTTATTTTAGAGTTGATTCATAAATTCATATTGGAAGATAAAAGAGCATTACTTCTTCAGATATGGTTTCCGACCGTTTCCATCATATCTATTCAAAATAAAAATAAAACCCTCAAAGATGTGACACGGAAGCTATGTAAGAGAATATTTTACAGGTAACCAAAGTACTTGGAGAGAACGTGCAGCCTCCTAAGGGCAACCTGCCAAAGGAACCCGGACTCCTGTTCCACCAGCACTGACCTTAGACTTTGTGTCTTCTATTTTCATCAGACTTCACTTACTTTACTTGAGACTATGAAAAAATTCCTTACAGCATGCTCTTCACCACCTGGATTAACTGTCCCTGCAGGCAAAACTCTCTGGCTGAAAGCCAGGTTTAAACACTGAAATGTGTCAAACACATTCACTTCATTCAGGAGTTCAGCGCTATTCTAAGTTGAATGTTGACATCAACAGCTACAATTAACTACTGATAGCTCTTAATACTAAAACATACACCAAGTACATGCTCATTAAATCAAGAGAGTAAAGTACAAAAACTATGGGTAACCTTAGAGGAAATATTTCCTCCCTCCTCCTCCCCCTCCTCCTCAGATAAACAGGCTTGGTCACCCCTGCAGGGCTCAGTCATAATGACGGTTGAGGGGCTGGTGCACAGTAGGCACTGGTATCATTACACATGGGAAAAAAAAAAAAATTACATTTGCTTAAGGGAAGAAATGCTTCCCCAAAAAGGTGAAGAATCCCAGAAGACCATTTATCTTAAGGGGAAAAAAAGTATAAAACATATGTCTTTAAAGAGCATTATCTGACAGAGGGAGAAGCAGTTTGCTTCTTAATTAGGATTTGCACTGTACACATCTTTCTGCAATCTGCAGTGATAACTCTCCATATAAATATAAGAAAAAAAGATACTGTGTCATACTTACACTGTAAGTTTTGTTCCTGATTGCAAATCAACATCTCATACATTTATTAATGATTGTTTTCCTTCATTTCACAGTGGCTCTTCAATAACAAAATCAATAATTAGTAATTTCAAAATTTAAAAAATAAGGTCAGAGAAACCTGTTAAAAGTTTCAAAAATGTAAACTTATCTTTTGTGTATTTATTTTATGTACTTAGTACAGGGTCTACAGGGTCTCACTACACAGATCAAACTTATACTGATCCTCCTGTTTTCAGCCTGCCAAGTGCTGGGATTATAGGCACATGACACCATACCTAGTCTCAATCACCATCTCAGTGCACCCGCACCCCGGAGGCAGGGATGGCATGGCATGCTGGGGATCAAACCCTGGCCGCTGTGCTCTGCTTGAGTAGGCTCTTTAGTCCGCTGAGCTACCTGGCCAGCCCACCTTTTGATTGCAATTGCCATGTTTGCTGTGTAAAATAATATAAAGCTTATTCCTTTCCCACTGTTACAAGTTCACAATATTTATGAAAAGGCGTCACTCTTTTTAATCTAAATAAAAGCAACTCAAAATAAATAAAAGCAACAAAACTGATCACAGCATACATTTACTGGGATTGTAAGTCAGACCCAGTGAGACAAAATGGTCAGTACCACCACTCACCAGATGTCACGAACCTCAGACACGCCTCAGACTTTCTGGTCTTATCCTGCAGTGTTTGTTAAATAAATGATAGCTAAGAGCTATTAGATGGCTTCCTACCAGTAGGCTGAAATGCTACTTCTACATTTTGCTGTCATAGATGCATACATTTTTTCTTAAAATGAATCAGAATGTTCTTCATTTCCAACAAGTCTGCGTGCAAGGGGACAAACACGACAGTCACTGTAGTTTTAAGCTGCAATACGTTATTTTAAATATCTAATGAAAAGGCCTAATTACCAGACCATTGAATTATTTCTTTCTTAAAAATGTAGTAAGCAGGAAAAAAATATGTTTTAAATAAACCAGAGGTAAAAATAACAATGCTTGAACAACTTGATAAACAGAAACAGGATAATTTCTAATCAGTAAATATTAATGGGACTACATATTTTATATAACAGGTATTGCTAAGCATATAGCAATCTTTAATCAGGCACTTGATGAGGGTATTTTTTAACTAGCATACTCAATACAGGGACATTGCGCACGCACGCGCACACACACACACACACACACACACACACAAATATGGCTTTATTACAAAGGATTCAAGATGGTAACTACTTAGAATCCAGTGCCAACACGGATTATAACAAATCCAGTGAGTATTTTGTTTTTCAATTATTCATAGAAAATTTAATCCTGATTAAGTATCCTTGGGCAGGAATTCATGGGTAGTTGATGACTGAAACCAACATTTATGTGAAATGCTTCTGTTAATTTAATCTGTGTATACGGCTTAATTATGATGGGGGATTCAATGGAAGAGAAATGAATTATATCAGGATTAAAACTTTTAGCAGCATATCATATAGTTCCCTCTTTGAAAACATAAACCTACTTGTCCCTTCACCTAAATTCTCAGATTTTAAAGTCCTTTGTCCTTACAACCAGTGTAATATACCTATGTTTTATTTTTCATAAATTTTTTGTCAAAACTCCTTTGCCAAACTAAAACCTGAACTAGAGCCAAAAATAAAAGAAAAAAAAACTGGAGAATAATCCCACTCACAAATAAGAGCTTATTCAGCTACTTGGGAATATTTTATACTCATTCCAGGAAGTAATTTTATTTCCTATTCCTTTAAATTCTAGTATAAGGTACAATTCTTTGAAAGCATCAAAAGGAAGCAGTTTTTAAAAATCAGTGTTTTGCACTGGTTTCACAACTGGACTAGTTTCAATATGTATACGCAAGTAATCATTTAACCGATTACTTTAAAAAGATTATCAAACGAGTTAACTGTGGGTGTGAGGCATTGTAAGCAGTGAATATCTGACTGACGTACAATATAATTCTTTTTAGGTGTGGTGGCACATTCCTATAATCCCAGCACTCAGGAGGCTGAGGCAGGAGGATTGCCGATTGCTGTGAGGTCAAAGCTAGCCAGCTCTACACGATGAGTTCAAGGCCAGCCTGGATACACAAGTATCCAGGTGTTCCACTACACAAGACCCTGTCTTGCAAATAAAAAAAATCAGGAAAGCAAATTTTTTTTCATAATTATTTCCACATGGACAGTCTTTCAATCATCTTTTAACAACATTCTTTCTTAAAAGTTTATTGTTTAGTTCAAAACACTTCACATCTTACCTCTTCTACGTTTTGGTACTGCTTAAATGCAGTTATATAAATAGCCTGCTTTACTTCACTACTGAACTTTTCATAGCAAATGTATGAAAAAAGAGTCACTGTCTTTGGATCCTTATTGCATTCTTTCAACCAATTCACTTTTTCTTTCAACAAAAACGATCAGAAGTGCGGTCGACTTTTGTGTACAGATGCTACGGTCAAGGGCAGGGTCACTGAGGAGAGCGAGGAGACTTCCCAGTAGAGGCTGTGGGATAAGAAGAGTCTGTAGAGCAGAACCATGGAGACAGCCTGGCAGAGGATGACGCCGATCGTGACAACCTGGACAGAACAGAGAAGGAACGCTTTCACGGCACGGTAAAACACAGCAACCAGCTTCGATTTGTCATGAGCTCAGACACGCTTTGTATACACAGCACACCATCCTTTATATTACCATGACTACATGCTCCTGAAAAAGCTTTCTATGGAAAAATATGACTTATGTTCAGAAATCTAAGAATAAAATTCCTCGCACATCTGGTTTACAGACACCAAAGAAAGACACAAAAGCGTAATTTACTCAAGCATTCTCTCCTAAGAATGTGCACGCCAGACAGGTGTCAGATTCCGTGCTACTGCAGGAAGAAGAAAAGCCCGCCCCTACCCAAGCGTCAGAACGCTCTGAAGCCCTTTCAGAACCCCGCGGGTCCCTTCTCTGTTCCTGGATGCGACCTTCCCACTCAGGTACCCTCCGTCCATACCGGCCTCAGCGCACAGCAGGGCTCTGGCACGCATGGCACTGTCTGCCTGGGAAGGGCGCCAGGCCAAGCACGCTCTGCAGCGACGCAGCCATTCCGCCAGGAAGGCAGAGCCAACTTCCGCACGCGCGGGCTGTGACGCTTCCGTCTGCAGGCCTGGGAGTCCCACGCTTCATTTTCATAATACCGTTATCCTAGCAAAAAACCTGCATCATTTTCTTCTTAACAAGATGTGTTATAAAATCTTAAACTAGAGGCAAAAAACGCAGCTCAGCAGCATGGCACCTGGCCGGCACGCACAAGGCCAAGTTGAGTCCCCAACTCTGCAGAGAACGCCCATACTTTATAAAACATCATTATGAAATACGTTAATTTAATAACAAAGCTGTTTCCATCATCTTGCTTGTAAATAAAAATTTCTGTACTTTGAACTTCAGATGTCCACTGGTTATACAGGTTGTTGCAGTTTTATTTTACAGAACATGAGAAACTGCTGAATGGCTAAACAGACCCCTCCCACCTTAACACTTTTTCAACAAAGGCTACGTGTGCATGAAGGAAAGTGCTGCGATCACACGGGACAGGCACCGCTCCTTACCTTATCTCTGTGGTAGTCACTAAAAATGACAGAAATGCACACTAGACTCGGATGGCACAGAAACCACAAGAGACAGCCCTGCAACAGATGAGCAAGAAGTACAGTCATGGCTCTACTTTAAAAATGCACCAAATACAATCATCACTAGTGTATTTAGGTTCTCACTGGCCTCGAGAGTGACGCCTGCAAGAAAACACAGCAACAAGTTCACTGTTGCTATGCTTTAGTACTTGATACAAATGCATAGCTCTGGAAAGAGACGACAGGAGTGTACATCCATATATTCATGTAGACACACAAATTCTGTAAAAACACACAAAACCCTTGATTAAAGGGAGGTAGTTGTTTGAGGGACGGTATAGAAATGAGCAGAAACTAGGCCAGTAAAAATGGAACTGTTTACACTTTTCAAATGCTTTTTCCTATTTCTCCTTGAAGACTGGCAACATACTCTTTTCTAAAACTAAATTTGAAACAAATGAACAAATAGTAGCTAGTGTGATGCTTGGGGTACAGTGAAGCTTGGGGAAAAACACATGTGGAAAACGGCTTGGTGTATTACTCCTTACATTACAATGGAGGGAACAAACAGAGGAGTATGTATTAAATATTCTCTAGAAGCACAGGCCTGTAATATCAGCACTTGGGAGGCTGAGACAGGAGGCTCACACCATGAGTTCAAGGCTAGCAGGGACTACATGGTGAGTTCAAGGTCAGCCTGAACTACTAGACAGTGAGATCCTGTTTCATAAATAAATAAATAAATAAATAAATAAAATAGGAAGATAGGTTTATCTTCCTATATTAGGAATCATATGAAGAGGTAAAATGAGGGGATGGGACCAAGGTAAGAAATACTTTTTGGTGCTCTTTATTTATGGATGTCCGACCTATTCAAAAAGTCAAATGTAAAACAAGAGGAAAATCTAATACCTAAACACATCCCCTGTACCCTAACCACCATTCACTCCAGAAGCAGAATGACGCTGCTCACTTACTCAGCACCCAGAGCCCGAGGTCTCCTGGGGCCAAAGCAGCAGCTCCGCAAAGCTCTGAGCCAGAAGCCAGGGAGGATCTGGTCCTCCAGCCACGCTGGGTCAGGGTGCGCTCCCAGGGCTGGCGCGAGATGCCAACGTGAAGGACAGAAAGATGGAGCCTTTAAGGGAGGAGGCTTCTATATGCTGCTGTTCCAGCCTCTTCTCCTCATTCTGTTCTTGGACTAACAGGGTACAATAAGAACTGAAATTGCCTTTGGACTTCTCAGCTATGAGGGCACGACAGGGCAATAAAGTAGACAGGACTTCTCAGGATGAAGGCGTGGAAAGGGGCTGGGAGCTCAGCCTGCCTCGCTCAGCCGAGGAAGAGCCCGAGCCCCTCAAGGCTGGTAGAGAGCACCACACAGCTCTGAGGTAGCAGTGTGCTGCTGATTGTTGTGAAACTGCGCACTATATTGTGATGGATTACAAAGTATTCTAGTATCATAGGAAAAAAAAAAAAAAACAGAAAATCCCTACCAACAAAGAAACTAGGGTCGAGGCAAAACTGACCTACCAAAGAATACCAGAAAAATATATACACTGTGAAATGGGGGCTCTGTAAACAGGACTAACAATATGTACATCATACAGGCCGGAAGATGAAATAAGAGCAGAGAACAGGCTCCGAGTGGGGCCTGCAGCAGTGCCCGAAGCTGGTGGGGCCGCACTCTGCAACCCCGGAGCTAGGGAGGCAGAGGTGGGAAAGCCGGCGGGAGGGTGAGGCCAGGGGGGCTCCAGGGCCAGCTCCAGGCCAGCCTGATATGCAATAAAACCAAAAAAAGAAAGGAAAGAAAGTGCTTGGCACATAATAAAAGGTTCACACTGGTCAGTACGGGCCGTTCACGACACCCCGTAGAACGACAGTGAGGTCGCTCATCGGAAGCCCCGCCCTGCCCCAACTCACCTTGGCGAACGTGAGGTAGAATTCTCTCTTGAGCGTGCTTCTCTCCACTGCAATGAGCTGGTAGAGGCCAAGGCCCAGCGACAGCGCCAGGCACACCCTCAGGATGATGAGCAGGGTCCCTGCCAAGTTGTGGTGCGAGTGGGGGCTGTGGTGGCTGGCATCTGCAAACTGTTCCCAAAGGAGTAAAATACTCTGCAAAAAATGTCATATTTAGGGAAAAAATGGTAACTATTCACATAAAGCACTTCCTTCAACTCTCATATACATTCCCTTGAGCATTACGTGACATATATAAACAGTATACCAGCACTCCTGTGAGACACTAAGTTATCAGACTATGCTGGCTTAAGAACAGGCAGCCTTTTCTCCCTCTAATAAGCAAAAGCTATACAGAAAGGGGATTTTTATGAAACAAGACAGTTACCCAAAAAAAGATGCTATTTCTGTCATGATTCAAATATGACATCTCTAAGGACATAATCCTGTTGAAAAGTTTTGAGACTAAATGTAAGCTTTCGTCTAAATCCACCTCCTTCCTTCATTCCTTCATGAGAAATTAAACTGTTTTGCTTTCTAACCTATCTCAGGGCAACTTTTAAGTATCTCAAAACATTTTGTAATCCAGAAATTAACGAGTCCAGTTGGAATAGTTGATTTCAGATCACTCTTCCATGCCAACCTTCCTATGGCTGCTAAGAAAGGTGAAGGACAAGACATTGTAAGTGTTCACCATAAGCCCCCAGGACACTGGGACACACCCTCATGTGTCAGGTGACCTTTTCTCCCTCATTGTTACCACAACAGCAGAGCTCCGCAAGCTCTCCGATGCTGCTTCACCCACTTGTAGCCAGTGAAGCTGGGTGCAGGTTCCCCCTGCCCAGACTAAACATGAAGTCACGGCAATGCTCCCGTCATCAAATGTGCCTGAGACTTCCTTTGCTTGTCAACTTAGCTCTCAGAGTTGAGTTGTTATGACCTCCAAAGACTTTAGATAGAAGCTCAATATTACATCTAAGCCTTAGCTTTTACGGGGCTTAGAAGACAGTTTCCTTTCTTCATTCTTTTTCTACCTTAACCTTACTCAATTACTATTCTTTTTGGCTTTTTAAAATTTGATATAGAGTCTCACTACACAGTTTGTTTATTTATTTTCTGTACTTTAGGGAAGGTTCTACTGGGTGTTCAGGGTCTCACTACTAGATCAGACTCACACTAATCAGCCTCTTTACAGCCTCCCAAGTGCTGGGATTGCAGGTCATCCCAGGGGCAGGGCCGGCACAGAAGGCCAGGGGATCAAACCCCCAGCCCCTGTGCCTACTTGCAGGAGCCTTAATGCACTGAGCTATTTGGTCGGCCCTTCACTACACAGTTCAGACTTAGGTTCCTGCTGTCTCAGCACCCCTAGCACTTGGATTACACATGGGCACAGCAGGTGGTACTGGGGATCAAACAGGGTCCTTGTGCTTGCCAGGCAGGTACTTATGCTGCCAAGGTACCTCCCCAGCCCTCCATTTTTTTTCCTTAAATGTATTTAGTGCAGGGTCTACAGGGGCTCACTCTATAGACTAAATTCACAGTGATTCCCCTGCTTCAACCTTCCGAGTGCTTGGGATGATAAGTGCACGCCACCACGCCCAGCCTCAATCACTGCCTAAGCGCGCCCTGGGAGTGGGGCCAGCAGAGCACGCTGGGGGACTGAACCTGGTTGCTGCGCTCTGCCTACGCAGGTGCTTTAGTCCATCTATTTGTATTCTTAACAGGTGAACTCCTTTGTCATCCTGCACATGTGCAATTTCCTATTTGGGCCCAAATTCGCTATTACTACTATTACTAGTGTCTGATTCCTTAACCTACATTTTTGAGCTTAACTTTTATAAAAAAGAAGTACTGGGCCAGGGAGATAGCTCAGTAGAATTAGTGCTTGCCTGGCAAGCGCAGGGTCCTGAGTTCAATCCCAGTACCCCCAAAAACCTTAAAAAAGAAATCTTTGGGGTTGGGGAGATAACTCAGAAGAGTAAGTGCTTCCATGGCAAGTGCAAGGGCCTGAGTTCAATCCCCAGTTCCACCAAAAAAAAAAAAAAAGAAAAAAGAAGTACTGTTATAAAGCTGCTGTTTCCTGTAATTCACTTTTTTATAGAATTTTATTTTATGGAATTCCCTATTTCCATATGTGACCTTTGCTTATCTGTCTCATCAGCTTTAGTTACTGTTGAAGATCAGAACCACATCTAATGCATTTGTAATAAAATTAAGTGGGAAATACTGCGCTTTATAAAAACTTACAGGAAAAAAAAAAACTTACAGGAAGCTCACAGTCAAATAAATTATAATTTAATATAGTGTCAGTACCCAGAAGATTAACATAGTATATGATCAATCATTCTTAACAACAAAAACCACATAAATATATATATCAGGAGTTGAACTCGGGCCCATCCTACCGAGCCATCCCCCCAGCCCCTGTGGTATATGTCATGTATAGAGCCGGGTTTCTAAACGTTCCCAGGAGGACAAGCTGCGCGCCCCCTCTCACCTGGGTAATGACGATGACCACCGCGATGCCGGTGGACGCAGGGCTGGAGTCCCACTGGAGAGGCCTGCTCTGGGCCTTCTTCATCCGGACCACTGTCCAGCCCATGCACAGACTCAGAAGTAGGTAGAGCATCTGGATCTGGGAAGCGATATCAAAAACTGAAGGGAAACGAAAATCAAAGTCAGTGAAGTCTTCACAGTATACAGAATCTGGCACTTTCTGCACCAAGATAAGCCACTGCTTTCTGTCATAAAATGATTGGAACTTGCACAGTGAAGTCAAGGGAATTCAGTTAGTTGTTCACATATTTTAAGCAATTAAACATTTGCCATATAATGTGTAAACATGTATAAGAAACT